ATTGAAATTTGCATATTTTAAATAAGTTTTGAAATGATAAATTTTTATCTAAACTTATGAATTTTACAAGAGGCTTCAAAAGAAATGAATATTCTTTCAAGTATACGTTTTGTCTCAAAACTTACCTTTGAATGTGAAAGAGAACTCTCAGCTAATTGAACTCATCTAATTTGTACAGCGGTTATGATGAGGTCAGCTGAAAATATTGTTAACGGCATCCTAGGATACTCAGATGATGAAATTGCATTCTAATCTTTTATAAGTAAGAACATAAGAAAAGTATATTTAATTAGCTATACTAATTACTAGGTTGGTTTTTAGTTTCACTCAAAGTTGGTAGCTTGCTCTGATTGGAAGTTAATATTAATCAAATGATTTTACTTTATTTTTTTTTATAGGATGCAATATTTACTGTTCAAAACTATTGATGTTGCAAAATAAGAAAAGGTTTTGGGTGTGAGAAATTGTAGTTTTTACCAAATTAATTGTTTAGTGAAAAACAAAATCAATGGTATATTAGGAATAGCTTAGAAGAATGTTTTTATTTTACAATTAAGTACACCATTATTAGGTTGTAAAAGGCTCATGCCTGTACTTATTTAGAGTATTTATTCAGTTTTGGGGTTTTTGAAAGAAATTTAGTGACAAGCACAGCTACAAAATCTTTAGAGTACCAATCCCTAACTTTCTAGTTTCTACTCACTGCTAATTGTAGAGATTGGTTTACCAAACCACATGCGAGTGCTTTAGCTTTGAAAATTGGACCTCTTTTGGTTCAAAATGGTATTTATTCTAGAGAACAGTAATAGTACTAACAAAGAGGATATCATATGATGAAAAACTGTATAAATGATAAAAACAAAATTGACACGTCTAAATAAAAACTTTTTCCAGTTTATTTCATGTGATGTTTGAAGCAGGTGTCCTTCGTTAGGCAGTAAGGACTGTGTTACAATGAAGTTGGGCTCAGAAAGAATGTAATCGCTGTGTTTATCTTTCCAAATTTAATTTTTTTAAATAAACTAAAGTGATATAATAAAACATTTCACCTGACTATAAGTTCTAATGTGTGTAAGATATAGCAAGATACATTCTTTTCTCCAAAGAGAAATGGTGTTTTTAAATAGTTGTTTTTTTTAAAAGTTAGAAGTGATCACTGTGATTTCTTGTATGTAACACTATTTGGCAAGGCTTGTCATTTATTACAGTTTGGGATTTGTTTTTATGAAAATAATGATTTGTTCCCAAGGAAACCCTTTTCAGTGGGTCAAGTTCTTTGGCATGTATTGTGTGCATGTGTGAAAGTTTTCTGTAATTGTGCTGAAGATAATGCAAATGTCTACAACAAAGAGTTATAGTTAAAATATCTTTAACTAGATATAGAATTAAGTACTTTAATCCCATAGGTAAGAAGTTGTGTGTATTTTTATTATCGTAGTTTACCCATTCGAATGACTAAGAGTTTGGAGCTGTTTCTTGTTATAGGCGTTTGTTTGTTTGTTATGGATTTTGTGCAAAGCTACATGAGGGCTATCTGTGCTAGCCATCTCTAATTTAGCAGTGTAAGACTAGAGGGAAGGCAGCTAGTCATCACCAACGCCAACTCTTGGGCTACTCTTTTATCAACGAATAGTGGAATTAACCATCACATTATAATATCCCCATGGCTGAAAGAGTGAGCATGTTTGGTGTGACGGGGATTCAAACCCGTGACCCGCAGATTGCGAGTCAAGCACCCTAACCACCTGGCCATGCTGGGCCGTTAGAGGTGAAAGTGAAAATATGATTGCCAAATAATTTGATAAACTTTACACAAGCTTATCTGTTATTCTTAAGGAAAAACACTTTTAGGAGTTATTGTAAGTATAGTATTTTCTTATTTTATTGGTGAAGTTTATAGCTGAAAAAATATTTCTCTAGGCTATTCATTAAGGTGAAATAGATGAAAGTGTGGATGAGTCATCAGTCTAACAATGCTGGTTAAATAATATACATTTCTTGTGGTATAAATGAAGATATATTCCAGAAGAACTTGGATTATCTGTTTTCTTTTATTGTGATTTATTGGTTGTTTTGTTAGTTTATAAATTAAAATTTATGATTTGATTATAGTACCTCCGGGGTATTTTATGTATTGTTTTTGATCTTCTTGTTTTGGTTAGAAAAGGCTGTAAAATTTACATATTTTTCTTTAATCTTACAAATTTTGAGTAGCCTGTAGATTACTCTCACCTTCAGTCTGGTTTTGGAGATGGCATCTTGGACTATCTGCAAAGTTCTTCATTGAGAAAAAAAAAGTCTAAAATGTCATCTTCAAAACCAGAATAAAGGCATGAGCAGTCCATTGGAAACTTCATCGTATTAGCACATTGCCTAAAACGTTATTTAAAGAAGTCATATAAAATGTATTTAAATTAATTCTAAACATAGATTGTGGTATATTATGGTATGAAATATTCTAACCATATATTAAGTGTATTTTGTCTTTTAATATATAGAACAAGATGAAAGTTAAAGAAATTGACCGAACTGCTAACATTGCGTGGTCACCAGCAGCTCATCATCCCATTTATTTAGCTGCAGGAACAGCAGCACAGCAACTGGATGCAACATTCAGGTATAATTTGTGTATAATTTGCACATGCTTGAATATTTTAAAACCGTCATAAATACAATTTTGAATTTTAAAGCAATAGTAGCAGATTCTTTTTCCTTCCAAGTAGATTTGGAAAACATTTAAGAGAAGTAGTCAGTTTAAAGTAGTTAGGCCAATTAATTGATACATACCAACTACCTGTGAATAATTTTTATGTATTGCCTTTATGTTTGATGTCAAGTGTGAAGCCACATAGTTTTGAACTGCTGACTAGAGGGGGAGGCAACTGATTGGCAGTGCCCATTGCCAACTCTCTGGCTACTTAAATGTTAAATAAACTGTAAATCTACTGTTTTTTACTTTGTTTTACATTTTAAATTTAAAATTGGTAACTGTGTTCTTTAATGCTTTATGAGCACATGCAAATCTAGGGTGGTGGTGGTGGAGGGCTGGGGAATCAGGACCACTTCATCCATTTTTTACCATTCTTTAATGTTGTATAAGCAGGTGTGGGATTAGGTGGTCTAGACTTCCATTTTTTCAGGAATTAACTATTCTTTAATGTTTTATAAGCAGACATGGATGTAGGGGATGGATCCAGGGGGCCAAACCCCTTCCATTTTTTTCTTTTAGTATTTAATGTTGTATAATTAGGTGCAGATCTAGGGAATGTCCACCCCTCCTCCATTTTTTTTTCAGAAATTGGTATATAAAAACAACTAGACGTCCTTATGTTACAACATAGTATATAAAAAAAAAATTAGAAGTCAGTGTTATTATTTGATTGGGATATTATATATAAAAAAAATGTTTGAGGTTTTCTGAAACCAACACAACTGAAGTCTACAGTAATCCAGTTAAGGCTTTATAACAAAGAGTTCGTAAAGAATGAATTTTTCATTGTTTATAAATTAGAATTCTTGTGAGAAAGATGTTTTCCATATTGTTGTCTAAAGTAAGTGAAAATGCAAGTTGAATGATTAAGAATGTTAAGACAATAATATGATGTTATCTGAAAAGACTTTCTAGTTTTATCCTTATTCATCCTCTAATGTTTTACAATTTTGTAAGATAACATTATAGATACTGAATGTTTATTTTAGTTTACAAAATAAATTGGTGGTATTCTAATTTTTATCAGTAACATGCAGGATATTAAAAGGCAAGGTATAATTAACTAAAAAAAGGGCACTTTTCAAGTACTGCATGACAATACTTTTTTGGAGGGTTGGAGGTGTTAGGGGAGACAATGGGGACTGTGTGTTGTCTTTTGTACACACAGGGTAATTAGGCATTTCTTTTAGTAGTTGTGGACATTTTTGCATGACTGAGAAAAAGGAGCATTTTTGGAACACAATAGCAGAAAGGCAGGAGCATGAGCCCATCCAGCCCTCCTTCTATGCATATTACTTATTTGTATGTTGTTTGACTTCAAATCTAGGCTACTTCAAGAATATCAAAAAATACTAGGTTTTTACTTTGGCCAAGTACTGGTTTCATTTAATTTTATTGTTTTATTGGTCTGTGAACCTTGTTTAACTAGCCTAACAAAGCAATAAATTGCCTAGCCAGAGCTTAGGGTAATCAAATTATCAAGTTACATCAAGAGATGGCAACCAGGGTTCATTCCTCCAAGAGAGAGAATTCACCAGAATTTTTTTGGGGGTTTATCTTTACTAAATTAACCTAATAAGTTTAAAAAAAATTACATAAGAAAACAAGAAATTTAGCACTTAATTTAGCCTTGAAACTTTTTACGCTCAGATGTGTGTTTTAGTAAGCATATTTTTTTCTTGTTACGTTGGTCGTCTGAAAATAATCAATGTAGCTTTTATATATGTATTTTAGACACAAAATGCATCAGGCACTAAAATAGAATGTCCCAAAACTACTATAATTCATACTAATTGATAACTGTTAAATTCTATTAATACTCAGTGCAATATATTTAGTGTAAACACATCAAGCTGTCTTAGTGAGCTATCAGCTTTGACTGCTAAAACGAAACAGACAACTGTTTGATTTATGTAGTTTAGAACATATGCTTTCTATTGATTATAAACATGTCCAACAGCAATGTTGGAGAGAATTATAAACTTTTTTTTAAAAGACAGAGGATATGGAAATGGCATGCCAATGTGGGTTGAATAAATATGGTGATATCTCAGTAAAGCAAGAAGATGAGAGCTTGAGATTTTATGTTCTGGCATGTCAATATGTTTTCATATGTGTTTCTAGTCTGTTGATCAATGAGAAGCATTTGTTAGAGAAGGGTAAAAAATCTATAACCAAAAAGCCAGAGTGCCACTGTGTCATGTGGCTCAGAGGTGCAGATTAAGAATTTATTTAAATATTACCTTTTGAAAGTATGAAATTAAAATTTGGATTGTTTATAGTTCAAAGTTTTCTATTATGTTATGATGTCAAGTTTATTAATATACATTGATGATAAATTAGTTTAATTAAATTTTGAAAAAAAACTCTAAAAAGGTTGTGACATGAGCACATTGATCCTCCTGTGTCCATAGGGTTAGTTCCCATTTCTCTCAGGATGAGATTGTTTATTACATGAGGTACTATAAATGTTTTATTCAATGCATTTTCTTTGGTGTGAAAATTGTCATGCAATAGACCATACATACTATACTTGAATCCTGTTTTTTATTCAGAGGATGTTGTGTAGTATACAATACATTCTATACATGATCCATTTCTCTTGTGGTAATATTGTGCCATATAATGCATATAGTGCATTTGATTTCTATTTCTCTCTCTGTGATATTGTATGTCATATAATAATCTACACAGTATATTTGATCTTTGATTCACCAAGTATTAAAGATTGTGTGTAATTTTATTCTTGCAGCACTACTGCAGCTTTAGAGATCTATGGGTTAAACTTAACTGAACCTGGATTGGACATGTCATTGAAGGGAAATATTGTTTCTGATTATAGGTGAGTGTACGTTTTTTTAATTTGATTGTATCTGTTCTTGGTGTTCTCTGTAATTTATTTAGATTATAAATTTGTGAATATATTTACATTTTACTGAGTATACTCCTTAACCTGATGCTTATATAAAAAATAATTTTAATTTAAAGTCGTATATAAAGCCTATGTTGTATGGGAATAATCCATGTGTAAAAGTTGAAAATAGAACTTCAGTTTTGTCAAGTGTGAATATATTTGAAATGCCATAATTGTGTTATAGATTGGCTTTGTCCTTTTATTGTGGATGTATATGACATGTGTGTAATTGACTGTCAGCTTTGAATAAAAAACACTAATTTAAAATGAAGATTAAAGCTTATTGATGTGCACAATTTTCCCATTTATTGAGACAACAATCAATATTATCTCTTTATGACACCACTTTGAACAGCAATACACTTACTCATGAATAACTAGAATCAAGGATGTGAAATATTTATTTAAATCCACATAATGAATTTATAAAATCATTATGTTTATAGCTTGTGAACTGGTATAGCAATAGTTTTTTTTTAATTTATGCATCCATAATCTTGCTGAATGTATATGTGCATTTGAAGCTGCACATGTAAAGTCTCATAAGATTGTTTTTTGTAGAGAAAGTGACATGAGACTTTTATGTATTTCTTTTGAGATGGTTGAGTAATTGGATAAATGTTATATGATTGAGCTATTATGCATTATTGAGTTGAAATTGGTTGCTGTTTAGGGCACTAAAAGTTATATTTATCATTTTGGTTGAGTTTCCAAATTTTTTATGTCTATGGTTGTTAATGTAGTCTTTTGATTCTGTATTCCCTTCATCTCATTTCAATCTCCAGTTAAGAGCTAAATTTCAACTCTTGTAACTGAAGTGTTTTATTTTTAACATACTAAGTTATAAGAACTTAAATGTGTTTTATTTAGGATATTTATCATTACAGGAATTGTAGGTGTTTTAAATGTTACTTTAAGCAAGATACTTTGCTGCAATAAATTCTTTAATACAAATCTGAAAGGGGAAAGATTGGATTTTAATTGAGATGCGCTTAAAGTATGTTTTTGTATATTATCAACACAATAGTAATTTCAGTGTTGCGGTATAGTTAGGATTTCTGGATAATTCTTAGGATGGCCAAAAATACCATTATGAGGTTACCCAAATGATGATTCATCTCATTCTAAGTGATGTATGTTTTAATGTTTTATTTATTCGAAAACCTACATCTGCCAAATCCAGTGCCAAAGAGACCTTTTGCTCAATATCAGGACTCATCAGGCTGGCTGGGATATGACAGAAATAGTAATGGCTAGGTTATAAAAGAATATGTATATATAGTAAAAGCTTTGTTATTTGTCATATTCGTATCCAAAAAGCACTTGTAACCAGAAATTTCAATGTCTCCAAATACAAATGCTTATTGTAACATGGTAGCATTGCTATGGCTTTATTTATATTCTTTTCTGCCTGCATGTTTCAGTTGTACTGTGATTCACATTTAAAATACTGTACTTATAAACGTTTTTATACAGTTTAAGGTTTGTACAACATTTATTATTGTTTAAAACTCTTATTGTTATAGATGATTTAGAAATACTGTATTTTAGAACTTAACAAGGAGCCAACATTTTTTCAGATTTTTTAGAGTAAGAGTTAACAACATAACATTATTTTTTATTCTAACACAAATGTATTTATTTAATTTATATATTTATTATTATTGTTATTTAATTTACCATTATTCACAAGAACTGATGAACCAGCATGCTATGAGTAAGCACATTTTTGTTAGTTTGCTATGTAATACAAATTTATCTTCATCAGTATACTACTTTTTTTATTGGTTTAGTGCTAATTACTTTTGATCAGAAGTTTTTAGTGTATTAAGAAAAATTTGATGAGGCTAACTTTCATGGCAGCTTATGAACTACTTTAGAGTAAAGCAAATGTTAATTATACCAGATCAGTGATTGTCATTTCTTATCTCGGGTTATATAATTTGTATGGTTATATTGCTCAATCGTTTTAGTTAATGGATTATTTTTTACACAATTTTTTTTCTAATATAATTCTTTAGTTTTAAGAATTGTTGTCCCTTGTATGTTTTTATCATATATTGTTGTAAAATTAAAAAACAAAATCAGTCATAATGTTTGTGAAAGAATACTTTTTTTTCCCTTAGATTTCACAAGATAGTTTGGGGTAGTGGAGGAATGTCCAATGGTGAACATGTGAGTGGAGTGTTAGTGGGAGGAGCAGATGGAGGAAACTTGCTTGCTTATGACCCAGCTAAACTCCTTGAAGGAGAAAATGCACTCGTCTGTCACAACGATAAACATACAGGGCCTATTAACAGTCTAGATTTTAATAACTTTCAGGTAAATGTTATTTTTATTGTTCCAAAATCTTATTAGTGATTATAAAAGAAAGTCTTGGCAAAAAAAATAGTTATGTGGTTACTTTTATAGTTTTCAGCTTGTATACAAAGAATTATCCTTGATATATTTATGTTATTAGACTTGTATGTAACTAATTCATTCAACCATAGAACCCTTTCCTGACTAGTGGATATTCTGGAGGGTACACTCTTAAATCAACTTTGAAAAATAAGTTTGAAAATGTAATTATTTTTTTATTAATGTTTTGCTCAAAAAGATTACAAAATTGACATTTATTATTATTATTATTATTATTATATAATAATTATGTAGTTTATTTCGTAAATAAAAATTATATGATGACAAAACCTTGTCGAAATGTTGTACATTTGCT